CACTACTTTGAGACAAAGACCTTGGGCTTGCTGAGTTCCTGGTCTGTGTGAGACATGTAGGCCCCTGCTTTGCATTCCAGACCAGCTGCATTCCTGGAGAAGCAGTGACTCAGCAGAATATGCCCTGGGCTAGGCCTGGGTGCAGCAATCTGGTGCTCTACTGTGGGTTAGACACTTGGACTGACTGAGAGTGGATCAGTTTCAGTTCCTTTGTCACATTCAGTTCAGTTGCAGGGGCAGCTACAATCCCAATCGGGCAGGAAGGACAGTGCAAGCGTGTCTAGCCTTCTCCAGTCTGTGTGCTAGGCGACTTTGGGAACCAGCTAAGCTAGTCTTGGCAGTTGGTAGGTAGAGATTCCAAAGGCCACCTGTTTGCAGTGAAAGAGCAAGATGGGGATACCATTGCTGGACAGCTTTAAGTACAGTGAAGTGTTCTCTGTCCGTCTGGTAGACTGCATACATTCTGGGTGAATGTAGAGCAGGGAAAATGATCCTTTAGCTTTAGATAAAGCCCTTGGAAAGATGAACCACAGACCACAAAGAGCTAGGGAACTGGACCCAGATACCATGAACAAATTTACAGCTCAGTGGAATCCTAATAGGACAAGTCAACATGTGAACAACAGCTGTATAAATTACAAAGCTTGACCTCCAAAACATCACATTCCTCCATCCCTTTTCCTTTTTTATTCCACCACGGATCTAAAACAATCCTATAACAATTATAAGCTGGAGAGGAATTCTGTCAAAAGGAAAACACACACACACACACACACACACACACACACACACACACAGAGCTGTTCTAGCTATCCTTCTCAGACGTTGACAAGGACTGTTTTAAGTTGTATTTCATTTTCTTTTACTCTTGCCTGACTTGGCAGCCCTTCAGAACTTCAGCTGGTTCCAAACACAGCTCAATAAAGATCATTCCAGAGAAGTTTCATATTCTTAAGATTCCTTAAATTACCCTTCCTCTAACTTAGGAAATGAGGTTGAAAGAGGATGAAAAAAACAGCCCAGATTGTACCATTCTCTCTATAAGGTTCTTGCTAAGCAAGCTGTGCCTCCTTTTCCAATGAGAACAGAAAGCCACGGTCCTGATGGGGAGGTGGGCGGCCAATCCTGACAAGCAGTAATAGGACTGTTTGTATTCTGAAGAGGCCCCAGCAGGTCCCCAAACTTTCCCTGAAAACTTTACAAAGGAGGGGGAGAAAGGAGAGAAATGTTTGCATACTACCCATCTAAACGCTCAGCAACTGTGGGCTGCATTCATTCACCAAATATTTGTTTCACACCTGTGCTATGCTCAAGACAGAGATGCAGAGACAATTGAGTGCTATCCACAGCAAGCTTCTGGACCAGGAACCTAACTTGGAACAAAGCTGGAGGAAGCCCTAGTTTTGCTCCCAGCTGCATTTGCTTTCTTCCTCCCCCTCTTTTCAGGTTCCCAGGCTCTCCCTTCTGTCCTTCCCTCTCCTGCATCCTGGCTTATTATATGCTTCACCTTTCCCCTGTGCAATCACATGCCCCTTTGTAAACATCAAAGGAACAGCAGCAGGACCGCGGAAGCTGATGGAAATGAGATCGTGACACGTCAGAGGATGTTTTTCTTTTCTCCACTTAGACAGCTCTCTCCTCACAAGAACCGAGGCGCCTTTTCAGTCCCAGACTAGCTTGTCGTCTTCCCTTTTATAGTGACTGATGCTCCAACCTCTTTTCTTAGCCTCCCTCTGGGATGTACCTGCTCACCGAGGCTCTCTTACTGGCAAGCGTTCCTGTTTCCATATATAGTATTTTGTTGTTGGAGTTTTATTATTATTGTATGTACATGTATGCATGTGTGTGGAGGTCAATTTTAGGGAACTTCCTCTATCATTATTCATATTATTTTTTTGAAATAGAGTCTCTTGTTAAATCGTGCTGGCTGTCTAAGGCTAAATTAATTAGCTAGTGTGCCTCTGGGATCTGCCTGTCTCCAGCCTCAGCACTGGGGTGCAGACATGCTCCACTGCACCCACTTTTTAATGTGGGTCCTAGGAATCAGCACTCAGATCCCCAGGCCTGAGCAAGCAAGCACTTTACCTACCCAGTCATGTCCTCAGCTCTGCTTTTGTTTTTGTTTTTTAAATTCCTCTTCTTTTAGCCAGGCATTGGTTGTGCATGCCTTTAATCCCAGCACTCGGGAGGCAGAGGCAGGCAGATCTCTGTGAGTTCGAGGCCAGCCTGGTCTCCAGAGCGAGTGCCAGGATAGGCTCCAAAGCTACACAGAGAAACCCTGTCTCGAAAAACCAAAGAATAAATAAATAAATAAATTCCTCTTCTTTTTTTTAATGCTTGGCACTCGTGAACCTAGTTTTATACCACAACCTGTCCCAGCCACCATAGTCACTGCTCTATTCCCATAGTCAATCATGTCCATACTTCACAGGCAAAATAGAAAGCCCTTAGAGAAGATCTCACTCTTTCCAATCACCCCATCTCAAATTTGTGATTCTACTGCTTCAGCCATCACAGGCACGTGGCACTATGGGTACATCCACCCTCTTTTTAAAAATTAATTAAAATAGTTATTTGAGATAGGGATTCACTGTGTAATCCTGGCTGGCTGGCTGGCTGGCCTCTAACTTCCTATATAGACCAAGTTGGCATGGAACTCACAAAAACCTAACTGCCTCAGCCTCCCAAGTACTGGGATAAAAGGCATGTATCAGTATGCTTGGCACTTAAAATATTTATTAATTGTATGGGCATGGTATTTCTTCTACAGCTGTCTTTATGGACTGTATGCATGCCTGGTGCCTGCATAGGCCAGAAGAGGACATCAGATCCTCTGGAACTGGGGTTAGAGATGGTTGTAAGCTGTTGTGTGAGAGCTGGGAATCAAATCCAAGTCATCTGGGAGAGCATCCAGTGCTCCTAACCACTGAGCCAGCAAGACAGCCAATCAAAATTTTCATACCCACATTTTGCTTGCTTTTTTTTTTTTTTTTTTTTTTTTTTTTTTTGTTGGGTTTGGGTACATCATTGCTCTTGTATATTCTCTGGAATCTCTGAAGAAAACAGTAGCTGTTCTGCTGTTGTTGATATACTAGCTCCTGCTCCTGTGAGTCTTCCTCTATCAGCCTTGCAGGTCCTAGGTACTGCCCCTCAGTGGATGCTGGTGAGCTTAGGTTTCTACCAGTATTCCTGGGAAGATGATTGAACTTCACATTTAAACTCAGATTTGACTGCTTATTGTACCTCAAACGGAACTCATATGCTCTTCCCAACCTTCTTGTTTCTTTCATCTCAGTAAGTGCCACTACCGTCCACTTAAATTACCCATGTCAAAGACTAGGCTTTGTGTGTGACTGTTGTTATTTTTCCTCATTTAAAAGCCGAATATTAATCCAAAGTGATCTACCTCCTTAATACCACCCATTGTTATCCAGATGTTTCCTGCTTTGATGAAGTCGCACAGGTGCCATGAATGCTGGTGTCCCTCTTTACAAAGCCACTCTATTTAAGGGAAGGTACAGAAACTCTTGTTCCAAATTAGCTCATACTGGGGCTGTGGGACCGGGATTTTCTGTTCCCCACACTAATGAGTCATTAGATGTGGGCATCCCCAGGAAACTGAGCATAATTTTGAGCTACTGGTGGCTGATAGCAGAGACTATCTGCTCACAGCTCTTCTAGCAGCCAAGGGAATGAGTTATTTATGATGGACATCCCACATGGTATCCTAGTGTTTACCTCAGAGGCAGCTGTCTTGGCCTGGGGAGTACACAGCATTTCATTTGTTTTTGGTTTTGGTTTTTTTTTTTTTTTTTCCACACTAAAACCTCCAATTTAGGTTTTGTTGTTTTTTGTTTTTGTTTTTGTTTTTTTTTTCAGTGATAAACAGTGTATTTCAGAGTCCATCTGCCAATCTTTTGTATAGGCATAAGCTGAGATAAGGGATGCTTTTCAGACTTAGATATTCCTCTGTATCCTTTCTACCACTCCACAAGTTCCTGGCTGTCTTTTTCCGTTCCATTTGCCATCTGGGTGACTCTTCCACTATTACCTGTATTAGCCAGACGTTTCATCGCTGTGACACATTCCTTAAAGAAACAGTCCAAATTAGGAGATTTTATTTTGGTCCTTGGTTTCAGAGGTTTATCCAGGCTAAGTTGAGATGCTGAACATCATGGCAAGCTTGTATGATGCAGTAAAGTTGTTCAACTCTTGGTTGCCAGGAAGTAGAGACAGATACAAGATCTGCCCTTTGAAACATACCTCAGTGACCTACTTTAGCCAGATCCCACTCTCTATAGTTTCCACTATTCCCCAATAATGCTATCAAATTATGAATCCAGCAAGGGGTTAGTGTACCAATTAAGTTAGAGTCCTTAAGATCCAATAGCCTCTCGGTGATTGGACTTACTAGGTGAGGATGAAGTTTTCAACTCATGAGCCTTTTGGAGAACATCTGGAACAAAGCATGCCCCTTCTGTAGTGCTTTCCATCCATCACATGCAAAGAGAGCCTTCAGAACTACAATGTTACTCATCTGACTGCTTTTTAAAGCTCATCTAGGTTTTCTGTCATCCTTGATGATTTGAGCCCAACCTCCTTAGCTGGCCTAAGGATGCCAATGGGATATGATTTGCACTCACCTATATAGTCTGATTCCCTTATTTCTTATCCTGCACCTCTCTACTCGATACTTTATTTAACAAAACAGGATTATTGAAGTCTCCATTACCAACTAAACTTCCTCTTGACCCTGGATTTTTTTAAAGTATTTTCTCAAATCAGAATATATTGAACTTGTCTGTCTCAATAGCTTGATTATGAGCATTTCGAGAGAAAGGAACAGCCACATTCTTACAATAGGCACTCAATAAATAACAAACGAATGCATGAATATTTCTAGGAAGGAATAATGTCCCATGGGATATGCTTACTTACAAATGGAGGCCACTAAGTGGGAAATTTTCTGATGTTATTATTAAAGACAAACTGAAACAAGGTCCATTTGTTTATTTATTTATTTATTTATTTATTTACCTAGAAACTGGCAGAGTTACTAGGACTTGAGGCAACAAAGGTCTCATGCAATGGAAAAAAACAATAAACTGCAAGTACCAGAGAGGGATCTTGGCAATACTGGACTAAAAGTTTAATGCTTTATCTGGGGCTGGAGTGATGGCTCAGCAGATAAGAGAACTTGCTGTTCTTGCAAGAAGACCTGAGTTGGGCTCTGAGAATTCACATGAGGCAGTTTACAATCATCCGTAATCCCAATCTTGGAGTTCCAGGAGCTCCAATGGCCTTTTCTTGTATCTGTGGACACACACACACACACACTTTTAAAAATATGTTATTATTTTATGTGTGAAGACATTTTGCTTGCATGCATGTTTAAGAACCATGTCAGAGTGCTTGATTTCCAAGAAGACCAGAAGAGAGCATCAGGCACCCAAGAACTAGATTTACAGACAGTTGCTAGGTGCTGTATGGGTGCTAGGAATCAAACCCAGGTCCTATGAAGAGCATCCAATGCTCTTAACTGCT